AGGATCGTCGTCTCAGCTTGAATTCTCTCGGCTTCAACCCCACCATTTCCATATCCTCCGTAATCGACGACCTCCACCCTTCACCACCGTCTTCATCGCATCATCTCCTCCTCTTCACCGGGTCCGACTCCATCCGCTGCCAGAAAAGAGCGCGACCTTCACAGCCCCAGAATCTTGCGACTTCACCTCACCCATCTCTCACCATCTTCAACCCGCGACCTCCTCTGTTCACCTCCGTGCCACCGTCAACCTCCTCTGTCTTGATAATCATCATCACCGACAGCCAAAGACAACCAGAATCCATTCGACCAGAACAGGGGCGATCGTTGCGACTCCGCACTTCCTTCAACCTCTGATGATCTTCTCCGTTGCTGTTGTGGTGATGATTGAAGTATTAGAGGAGCTCGGTAGCGCAGTCCATTACACCATGAGTAGCTAAATTTGATTTTTCCCCAAGGCCAGAAAGCTACGCCAGAGAGTTTTGTACATTTTTATCTCCAATTTCAGTTTTATATTTTGATTTATCTGAGTTGGATAATTGGATTGCAATGCTGGAATGGGTAAATTATAGTTGTAGTGTATTTTGGGATATGAATGTTGAGATTTGATAATCATGCACTTCACTTTGTTGTTTGATGCTATATTGAGTTAATATAATGTTATTCTCTGTTAAGTTTTTGGTCCATTCCATGGTTCATAAGATTGGTGAATTTGATTGTGCATAGTTATTTAATTTCTACCAATGGTGCTTAATGAGAATTATTAATATTGTTGTGAATCTTTTAGTTAAAGGAATAATTAACAAGTTAATGTCTTAATGAATCTATGCTTGATTAGACGAGTAGCTACTTACGTTAATTGATTGGATTGGTAATTAAAACTCTATTAATTTTTTGAAGTTAGGAAGGCATAGATTGAAGCTGTAAAGTGGAATTCATATAATTTGTTATCTTTTAATCAAGTTTCTTGCATTCTCATTCTAATTTACCCATTCACTTATTTTTAAAAAAAGATAATAAAATATCCTCAAAAATACTAACAGACAAATTAGGATCGGTAAATATCAAAAATTCAGATCAAACCTCTTATAATATTTTGTAATTTTAAAATGGTGTGAAATTAGGGGTGTTTAAGGCCGGCCCGTTCCGGTCTCGGTCTTATTGGGACGGGACGGATCTGTCCCGAAATTTTTCGGGACGGGACAAAAAAGGGACCAGGACGGGACAGGACACGGGACGGGGTCGTCCTGGTCTCGTCCCGATTCCTTTTTTTTTTAATTTTTTTTAATTTTTTATCCTATTTATATAATATCATTTTTTTCATATTTTTTTAAGATTTGAGATTATTGTATGGAACTATGGATATATTTGTTTAGAGTTTTTATATTTGTTAATGACTTGAGATTATTGATGATTAGAATTTTTAGTAAGTTTTTATTGTGTTAAAAGCTTTTGTTTAGAGTTTTTAATGACTATTAATGTAATATTTTGAGCTTTTGTTTAAGAGTGTCCAAACAAATAAAAAAATGTTTTTATAAGATTTAAGCTCAAAAAAATATAATTAAAAAATCAGATTTTTTTAAAAAATTAAAAAATTAAAAAAATATATTTTCGGGACGTCCCGGTCCCGTCTCGGATCCATCCCGTCCCGACCGGGACCGAGACAACCCCGGGACGGGCCGGGACACGGGACAGAAAATCTGTCCCGTTACTGTTCATCGAGACGAAACCGGGACGGGCCTGTCCCAGTCCCGATCCGTCCCGTGAACAGCCCTATGTGAAATGATAGCATTGTCCTTATGCTTTCAATAACTACTTTTATATAACTATTGGCTACTTTTGTACAACTTTGGTTATTTTAATTTCACTATTGACTATTTTTATTTTCAAAGTTTTGAAAACTACTTTTGTATAACTATTAACTACACAAGAGTGGTAAATAACTAAATAAAAGTAGTTACTAGATTTTCAATAATACTAAATGTACTTTTTGAATTTTTAAAATAAAAGTACTCAATAATCAAACTGAAATGATTAATAACCAAACAAGATTTTCAAAAATAAAAGTAGTCAAGTGCAATATTAGAGTAGTCAACAGCCAAACAAGAGTGGTTATTGGAGTTTTAGAAACAAATATAGTCAATAGCTAAAAAAGGTAATCAATATATAAGAAAGAATAGTCACTGAAGTTTCAACAATATGCTACTGAAGCTCTAGAGGCCGGCCACTAGAAGGGTTGCCAACATCGGAGCCGGAGCTCTAGTGGTCGAAAACTGGCCAAGGGTGTTGAGGTGGCAATATTAAAATTAAAAAAAAAACATAGTGAAGGCCATTTGTGTCATTTTGACATATTTCAAAATTTTAAAATAGGACTAGGGGTTCGATTTAAGATTTTCCATTTAACAATTTTCAAAATATTTTATTGTTTTTTTCTCAAAAAATAAAATACAACAAAAGTAATTAGGATTATTTTCAATTAAAAATTAAATAAAATATAATAGAGAAGTTTGAATAAGGAATAAAAATAAATTCACAAGGAAAAAAAAAGAAGTATGATCAAGCAATTTATAAATCTCAATAGACATAATAAAATCAATTAAAATGAGAATTTTTAGAGGATATGGATTTGTTAATTTAAATTTAAATGGGTCAAATTATTTATCATTGAAAAACTCTATTTAAGTGTAATTTCTAATGCGCGCAACAAGACTCATTTAAAAATTCTTTGTATTTCAAAATTTATTTTCAAGATTGTGAGTAAAGGCCACCCACATTTTCACTTTAAAAAGCTTATTTAGTCTATATTTATATCAAACAAGTTTCACATTAAAAGTGTTTATAGTGCATGAGATATTATAACAACATTATTGAAAGGTCAAAGTTAAAGCATGTATGACCTTCATTCACAATTTTAATCATAGCCTTATGATATATATAAAAAAACTAATGGGCTTTAGTCTATTAGAAACTAAATTTAAATAGCTGTTTAATGATAAGTCATTTGTCCAATTTAGAATCATATTGATGAAATTGAAGACTAGTTTGGTTCAACTACCAAATCCTTAGAAATGGTAATTCAATGCAATAACATATAATGCAATATTTATTATCATTCATATGTTTGGTATACTTGGCATGCTATCAAGAATATTTAGCAAAAAGTTTGTTTTTAATATTTAATCAAATAAAAATAAGAATGAAAAGTCTATAATATCCTTCAATTATTAAAAAAAAAAAAAACCTCTCCCTATGTTCATCTGACCACTAGACACAATTTTTTTCCTCACAAAAATGAGAAGCACAAGCATAAGCATAGATTGACAATCTTCTCATTAAAAAAACTAAAAATTCATTTAGAAAAATCTAGTTGATTCAACAAGAACTAAATCAAATGAGCTTTTAAGCTTTAATACAACAAGAAAAGAAGCATGCAAATTTGAATTTGATATAAGAAATTTTAATTTTCTTGGATTAAATTTGAATCTATTTAAGAAAATCTGAAAATGCTAATCAAATTTGAAAATGTTCATTTCCTTCTCACGGATAAAATTTTAACCATGGGTTTATTAATGTAAATTAGAATTTGTATCAATAAATTCTAATTTATGCGTGATACATTCTAATAAACAGGGTAACTTTTGATTAGATAAAATTTTCTCAATTTAAATTCAAATCAGGGAAATGACCTCTTATTGAAAAACTCTCTGAATTTAGTTTTTAATAAAATAAGATCCATTCAAAAATATTATGTAATTTTAAAGTTATGATCAAGACAGTGAACAAGGGTAAGAAATATTTTTCTCACTAGATTTTGAGCCAGATTTGAAGAACCAAACTCAAATCGAAGCATTTCCCAACGCCTGGCTGAGTTGCGTTTGTTGCTGTAAGGAGACAACGATAAGGTCAAGCTCATTGGCGGAGGGAGAAGAACATAGAGTCGCGTTCGTTACCGGAGGTCGGAGTTGAGTTCGGTGGGAAAGACCATGCCAGGATCGATCATGTCGCCATCGTTGTAGAGAGCCATCACCGGTAGAGGACCAGAAAAGGTTGGGATGGGAGAGATAGAGGAAGAAGATGGGATGGGGGAAGGGCAAAACGGTCTGAGTTCTAATTTCATGGAACTGGAACTCAGTTCTCATGGAGGGTTAAAGAAGCGGAAGTTTCCAAATTTGATGGAACTGAGACTTCCAAGGGAGTGCTTCAACTAAATGCCCAAATTTTGGGTTCTACTTCTAATTTTGCTTCCCGTCTCCTTATTTTTATGCTACTAAGCAAGGCATAAGTTTTTGTCACAAGTTCTTTTTTTTTTTTTTTCATCCTTAAAAAATTGCTCGTAAACATGTGATATGCCATCTAAAATTAATTTGATTGTTGGTTAACTAAGCAACTTAACAGTTAAACTTGGATGAGATTATATCAATTTAATTAACAATTTTAAACGCAAAATTATACGATACTACTTATGTTTATAAAAGTGATTTCTAAAAACACTTTTTTTTGCTGATTAAGGGGGTGTTTGGATAGAAACTAAACCATGGTTTCAGAACTACTTTTATGATTTACGAAGTAAATATGTGGAGGAATTTGTCTCGTTTTGCAGAAAAGTGTTTCTGAAACCACCCCAAAGACAAATTTTTCAACATATTTATGTTATTTATTATAAAATTATTTTTAAAATTATGATTTAGTTTTTATTTAAATATTTTAAAAAACACTCTCCATCTTAAGCCCCAAAAAAATTCTGATTAAAGATGAGGCGCAATCATAAGCACCTGTGCTTGTTTGACCAAAACAATCACAAGCATCTGAACTTTCTCTTTCCTCCTTGATATTATTGGGGAATCTTTTTCACAATATGAAATGGCCAGACTTTCCTTCCTCGAAACGTCAACACCAAGTCGTCGTCTTCTTTTCTCCACTACTTGCCTTTCCCTTTCTTCTTGTATGCTTTACTTACAGTTGCTAGTTCTGATTCTCCACTCTGTTCTAGCTTCAGTCGCCACTGAGGAAGCTTCATCAGTTTATTGACCAGAAAAATAGGAAGCTTCACCAGCTCTAAGCTTTCCACTGACATAACAGTTAAAAGCTTTTTCGCAGGCAAGACGCAAGAGTGGCAGAAACCGCAAAACTGCAATTAAAGAGTTGCAGTCGTGAGTATTTTCTTATGTAGATTCAATATTTTATAATATTTCAGCTGCATTACTTGCTTGATGCGCTCTGCAATCGAAACCTGTAACGATCGTTGAGACTGATCAACACAAGCTTTTGGCCCCCCCCCCTTTGTGCAATTAATTTTATTGTCACTCTTGTTACGTGTCTTTATCTAGATACGCACATCGAGTTCTATGGGCCCTGGCCCTCATTTCACAACAATGTCCTTGGCTTTTACCTTTATATCATTTTCGGATGAGTAGATTAAGGCAAAGAGGAAGTTGCAAGAAGGGGAAGAGCTAATCGAATTGCCAAAGCTGGAACTTCAGGAGACAAGACAAGTTCCATGAGATGAGACAAGTTCAAGAGATGGCTGTAGAATTCGTCAATGCCCTTAATGCAGCTGCAGCTGCTGAGGTATGATTTGTTGGTGTTTCTTTTATTTTATGAATATGCTTCTTTTGGATTATATCAGTACTTTTTATCTTGATTTTGTTCCAAAGATTTTTTCCCCTCCCTTCTGGGCGGGGATCTTATATTGGTCTGCGAAGAAACTCTAATCTTATGCTTCTTTCACAGTGGAATTTTTTCCTTCCTTGCTTGTAATTCGTGAAGAAATATAGATGATTATGCATTGATAATTGTGTCTTGCTTTTCCATGTGAACTGATTGTGATAATTCAACTTCATCACTCCCTTATGGTTGGAGCTGTTTTTAAATTTACAGAGTGAATGTGCTAAACTGAGGAGGCTGCTGGAAGAAGAGAGAAAGCTTGCGCAAAGGCTTAAACAAGAAAAAGAAAATGAAGCACAAATGGCCAAGAGAAAAATTGAAAGAATGAGCCAACGACTAGCCGAGGCTCAAAAAGATGTAGAGTACGCTACAACTAGAGCTGATGTTGCTGAGGTTCTGGCTTGACTTGATCCCTCCCCGCCCCAATTTTATTATCCTTTTTTTCAACAAATTTACGAGGAATCGTAATGCAGGATTCCTTCATTTCTGATTTTAAAATTTTTACGATATTTAGACAAACGAGGCTGCATGATAACTTTATTTGTGCGCCACTCTTGAATTTGACAAAGGTTTTTATCTGTCATCATTCAAATAATCTCTTCTCCAAATGATTCTATGTATTTATGTGATCAGTTATAATAAAATATTACAAGCCCTTCAAAAACTATTTAGGATAGATTAAAGTACCTAAGTGGCTGTTGATTGGTATCTTTTTATATTTATAAGGATGAATGGGTTAAGTTGAAGCGAGAATTGCAAGAAGCTCTAGAGCTTGTGCAATTGCAAGAGCCCGGAAGCGTGGAGACAAGACAAATTGTACTGAGACAGGTTGACCACAAAGAACTAGAGTTAGCCAATGCCGTTAATGCTGCTTCAATTGCTGAGGTATTTGTTGTTGCTAATTTTATGATATTAAAATATTTATTTTAGTTTTTCCTCCATAGTAGATGCATTTTAATCCAGATAAACTTTGCAAAGTTTTTGTTGCTAATAGTCTGCGATGAAGATGCAGCAAGGTTTACACCAAATTATCTTGCAGGTGCCTTTATCAAAGATTAACATTTGGTCAATTATTTTGAGTAGCACTTTTTTCTGTTAAATCACTAAAAGGTACATACTTGAAACAAAGTATATGGTTGGCTTTTATATGTATTTCATGTGTTTATGTTGTTGATTTTTTTTGGGCTCTGTCTATAATATTGCTCTATAATTAAACACTAATTTTATGCTTCTCTCAGAGTGGAAAAATTTAATCCATCTGTGAATCAAAAGCAAATGTCTGCATTTAGTAAACATAAACAGAAAAAAAATAAATAAGTGAAGACATATTTGTTTTTGCACTCATAGTTGGGCTAACCATGCATGATATAATTATGTTGCTTGGGATTTTATAGAGGGTGATGCTGCATTTGAAAATAAATTGATTTTTAAGCTGGCTTTTGTCATATTGGGAGGGACAAATTTTGATTTGACAGAGTTTATGGAAAGATGAAAGTGATGTTACTCTAATATTAGTTCGTTTGATGTTTGTAAGTTGTGAATGTGTATACAGATGGTTATTTGTTGATGATTGAAATTTTTTCTCCATTTGATTTGAATATGATACATTTTTGCATCACTCCATTTTTGGTATGTTGATCTCATAGCTAATTTTACAGAGCGAATGTGATAAACTGAGGACATTGCTGGAAGAACAGCGAAAACTTGTCCAAAGGCTTATACTTGAAAAAGATGACGAGGCTCAAGTAGCCAAGAGACAAATTGAAGAGATAGGTCAAGAATTAGCTTATGCTCGAAAAAATGCCGAGTGTACTGCTACTAGAGCTGATGTTGCTGAGGTTTGAATCCTGTTGATATCTTTTTTCATTTATATCAAAATATTAAGAAAGTGGCCCAGTTTATTTGCAAGCAGTCGTGATCATTTTGAAAAGCAAAATACAGGATTCTTGTGCTTTAAAAATATGAAAACATTTATACAATCAATTTGAGTGACGAAGAATTTCTATTTTTGCATAATAGCGCGATATGATATGAAGTAGGAATTATGATTTGATTCTATGGACAGGAACTTCGTCGGATGGAGACCCAGGAATGTGTGATTTTGTTTGGTTAGGTTGAGATTTAAGGTTGCGAAAGTTTGTCATGGAAGTCACCTTTCTCTCAGTGTGCCATTTTCCTTTGAGAAATGGCCTGTAGCTCTTAAGGAGGGATATGAATGTTATTGTTTTAATGATTTGGTTGTAAAAACCAGTGAAGTTCTGTCTGGATTCAGCGGAAGAATTAGTATTCACTTGTCATCAATTGTCTGGGCAAAAGCAACGAAGATTTGGTGTCCTTCAAATGTAAGATCACTCGAATGAGGATCTGTATGAATCAGACTGAGTCAAACATGTAGATCATTAAGGCAATGTTTCTACAATTATACTATTATTCTGCTACAAGGATTAGTCAACAATTAGCTAAGGCACAGAAGATGTTGAATACGCTACAACTAGAGCTGATGTTGCTGAGGCTCAAATTTATAAAATATTGATATATATATATATATATATATTTTTTGATAAATTTACAAGTAATTGTGATGCAGGATTCTTTCATCTTCGATTTTAAATTTTCGCTATATTTAGACCAACAAGGTTGTATGACAAATTTATTTGTGTGCCACTCTTAAATTTGAGACTTCCAAGGTTTTTATATGCCATTCAACTAATCACCTCTGCAAATGATTCCATGCAATTATGCGATCAGTTACAAGATACTGCAAGCCCTTTGAGAATTATTGAGGATATATTAAATTTCTTAAGTGGCTTTTGATTGGTATTTTTTTATGTTTTCAAGAATGAATGGGTTAAGTTGAAGAGAGAGTTGCAAGAAGCTCTAGAGCTTGTGCAAATGCTAAAGCCAGAAAGCGAGGAGGCAAGACAAAGTGTGCTGAGACAGGCTGATGACAAAGAACTAGAGTTAGCCAATGCCGTTAATGCTGCTGAGGTATTTGTTGTTGCTAATTTTATTATATTAAAATATTTATTTTAGTTTTTCCTCCTGGAAGATGTACTCTAATCCAGATAAACTTTGGGAAGAATTTTTTTTTTGAAGTAATATACCCTAACCTCCTTTATATTTTGCTTTAATTATATGGACCTCACTTTTATTTTGAAAGCATACACTTAAGTTCAAACCTAACTACTTCAAAAATATTCTAAATTTTTTTTTAAATTAAGACTCATATCAAAATATTTTTTAATTTACTAAATGTCTAATTTTCACTAAAATTGTTTTGAAGAATTTGATTTCTTATTTTTGTAAATAATTATTTATTTATATTTTTATGATATTGGGACACAATAAGTAATTTAAGTAATATAGACATAAAAATTTGATTGAAAATTAGTTCTTTAAATAAAAGATTAAGATTTATCCAGCACTATAAGTTCTTTAAATAAGTTTCAATAAATCTAATGAAAAATTAAAATTATAAAATTTTATAAAATAATCAAAATTACTAAGTTTTATAACCTATTACAAAGTTTGGACATATATGTAGTATAAAGATAATTTTTTTGATAAATATAAATTTTCAAATAATTTTTAAGTTAAGAAGGGGTATTTTTGTCCAAAAAAATTCAAGAGTCAAACTTGACAGTTGACTAAAGGTTGGATTAATGAAAAATCGAATCGCAAATATATAAGAGAAATGTGTGTAACATGCATTTTAATTTTAGTAGAAGTTTATATGCGTTTTCAAAATAGAGAGGAGGTTTTTGTGGTTTGGACAAAATAGAGGGGTGTCAATGCATTTTATTCATTTTTTTTAAAAAATATTAGCATCTTCTAATAAGTGTTACAGCAAATTATCTTGCAAGTGCTTTTACCAAAGAATAACATTTGGTGAATTATTTTGAGAAGCACTTTTTCCTATTAGATCACTAAAAACTGCATGGATGAACTAAGTATATGGTTGCCTTTTATTTGTATTCTATGCTTTTCTCTTGCTGAATTTTTTTTTTTGCCCCCCGGCTGTCGGTAACATTGCTTTATAAGGAAACACTAAATTTATGCTTCCTTCAGCATGGAAAATTTCTGTAAATCAAAAGCACATTGCTGCATCTATGAAACACAAAATATATATTTATTTTTCACTCATAGTTGGGCTAACCATGATATAATTATGTTGCATGGGATTTTATAAAGGATGATGCTGCATTTGAAAATAAGTTGATTTTTAAGCTGGTTTTTGTCATATTGCGAGGGACAAATTTTGCTTTGACAAAGTTTATGGAAAGATGAAAGTGATGTTACTCTAATATTAGTTCGTTTGATGTTTGTAAGATGTGAATGTATCACATTCATTTGATTTGAATGTGATACATTTTTCATCACTCCATTTTTGGTATGTTGAACTCATAGCTAATTTTACAGAGCGACTGTGATAAACTGAGGACACTGCTTGAAGAAGAGCGAAAACTTGTCCAGAGGCTTACACTTGAAAAAGATGATGAGGCTCAACTGGCCAAGAGACAAATTGAAGAGATAGGTCAACAATTAGGTGATGCTCGGAAAAACGCTGAGTGTGCTGCTACTAGAGCTGATGTTGCTGAGGTTTGACTCGTTTTGATATCTTTTTTCATTTATACCAAAATATTTATCTGTCGTTTTGCAGACAAATAAAGAAAGTGACCCAGTTTACTTACAAGGAGTTGTAATCATTTTGAAAGCAAAAATACAGGATTCTTTTGCTTTAAATATGAAAACATTTATACAACCAATTTGAATGACGAAGAATTTTTCTGTTTGTGCATAATAGCGATATTATAGGAAGTAGAAAGTATGATTTGATTCTATGGATAGGAACATCGTGTAATGGAGACCCTGGACAGGGTGATTTTGTTCGGTTAGTTTTGAGGTTTAAGGTTGCAAAAGTCTGTCATGGAAGTCACCTTTCTCTCAGTGTACCATTTTCCTGTGAGAAATGACCAATAGCTTAATGATTTTCTTGTAAAAACCAGTGAAGTTCCATCTGGATTTAGCGGAAGAATAGTACTCACTTGTCACTAACTGTCTGGGCAAAAGCAACGAAGATTTTGTGTCATTTAAATGTAAGATCACTCAAATAAGGATCTGTATGAATCGGACTGTGTCAAAGACGTAGAGCATTAAGGCAATGTTTCTACAATTATATTATTATTCTGCTACAATAATTAGGTAAGGCTCAAAAAGATGTTGAGTACGCTACAAACTGATGTTGCTGGGCTCAA